TATTAAAAGGTGCTTTAATGAGTCGATACAGTATGGTATACTACTATTGTATACATACGTATACTGCATGACGAACCATACATACATAGGTATGGTGTATATGGACGTTCCGTTTTGAGTTGAAAAAAAATGTTTAGTTTATATATTGGGCAACAAATGATGAAATTAGAAAATGAATATTCAGAAAATTTCGAAATTAAATCTCGAAATATTCATCTCTAACATTTACCTACACCGTAGGTCCTGGTGAATGCCTGCCGGAAAACAACTACTCCCCTGGCTGATACCACGCATTTACGCAAGATCACCGGTTCGAGGTATCACCTTTCATCAGTGCAGCAAAGATTCGTCCCAAACAGCAAAATGCCTAAGACTCGATCAACTCGGCTCAACCGTAGTCTGCAAGATAGATTGATTATAAAATGTGACTTCAAGGATTACCATGACTTATATTTATGAAAATAAGAGTTTCGTTACCAAAACTCAAAATTGTGCATTTAGTATATAGAATAAACAAAAGAGGGCCCAATAACCTTTCTTGTGGTACTCCATATGTAACAGTCATTGGTTCACTAAAAGTCTCGCCAATGCAAGCTGTTAAATAACTCGAAAATTTTGTAAACGTTATCTCTCATGCCATAGTTTTTCAATTTTCCACTAATTTCATATGGCACACAGTATCAAAAGACTTTTGCGGGTCAACAAATATACAAAGCGAAGTGTTGCTTGTATCTACATAGGTTATGAGACGGGAATTGCATCATCCGTTAATTTTTCCTCTATAAATTCGTATTGATGATCAGAAATTTTATTGTATATCTACGACTTATTGAAAAAAACCAAAGATACAATATATTGCCTTGCTGACAACAGTACACCTGTCATCCCATTTGTATTCCAGGACATCGGCTACAGGGGCACATCTTCACTGGCAGCAGGAGGTTGCATATCTAAATGAGGATCCAGAAGTGATTTCGAATTGGGGTGAAAGTTGTTGAATAATTTGTTTTCTGATTTGTTTTGTAACTATTGTATCCAGTTGTTCAGTTGTTAAAATAATAATAAAAGTCATTACGAGAAAAGTCAAATTCTATTTCAAAAACCGATAAAATAATAAGAATCCATCCCATTTACAACAAAAGTAACCAGGTTCAATTCAATGCCACAAAACCCCAGGCATCGGTTTTCTCCAAGAAGATAAATGTCTATCGGATATAATAATGGAAGGTCAGAAAAATATATTTAGTAAAATGTGACGTGTCAAAAATGATGAATAAATTTTGACTTTGACTTGACTTGACGATTCCGCTTTCTAGTTCGATAAGTTTGTTGGAGATTGAAATAAAATGAAATGTCTTAGCACAATCATGTCACTGGAATTGCAAAGGCAGCTTCTCAAAAGCTTGGAACACTGTTCCAGACCAGGAAAATGTACACATCTCAGCAACTTTTGATGCTTTATGAAGATCAGATCATACTTTCTTTGGAGTATTCCATCAATTTCTCAATGTAGAAGAAAGTCCACAACAAATTGCCTTCCATAGACGTATTGGTGAAGAGGACCGACACTAAATGGAAAACATCTATATATCGAAAACCCACATTATCAAGACTCTAATAGACCGTGCTTTCGGGCTCTGTAATAAAAATGAAGGTCTCGAAAATGAACTAGGCATTATCAAAAATGACCTTCAACGGAATGGTTACTCCAAAGTGATGCTGGAACAGGCTTTAGCTAGAAGACAGCAAGAGCTCCACAAAGAAGAGAAGCCGCCAAAGTCGAAAAGGATAAGAAGGATTGGGTCCAAGTATAACATCAGAACCTGTTTCAAATCTGGGAACACTATCCGTAGCAACCTTACGAAAACCAGTCCACCAAACGCGGACTGCGCGGATACCCTGGGAATGCGGAGAAACAAACATCGGTGAAACTAAAAGGCCATTGGAAGTTCGCATTGCCAAGAACAAGCAATACACACAGCGAGGGGAAACTAGCAAATCAGGAATAGCAGAGCATGTTTGGACTCTACATGAAATCAAGTGGGCTCAAGCTAAAATCATCCACAAGGAGGAACACTGGTTTAGGAGAAAATTCAAAGAAGCCGAATATATGTTGTCCAACAACACATTTAGCCAAGCTAACGGAGAAATACGCAACATATGGAAACCTCTAATCAAGCGGAACACGACCAACTCCCAACAAAAGGTCAGCTTCCGCTAAAACCGATGAAGCTGAGAGAGGAAAGAGGGGATAGATGGAAGCACTCGAATGACCTATCAATAGTCAGATCTAGAAGAAATAAGTCCAGTTATCACCCGAAGACGATTGTTATTAACAATCGAAACGTCGCGAAATAACTTGGTTTGGAATCTTTCATTTTCAATTTTAATTTCTTGTTAATGATTTTTTAATTTTCATCTCGTGTTAATAGTTCAATTTTTTTGAAACTTTCTATGTTTTTTACCACTTCTATTTGTACTGCAGTTTCGTCCTATAAGGACAAACTCATATATTAGTTTACATGAGTTCAATGTATAAGTTTGAAAATGTTTTTATAGGACAAAACTGCAGTAACGTTAGTTACAAATAAAAGTGGTAAAAATTGTAGAAATTTCCAATTCTCTTTTCTTCATCTTCAGATAATATTTCTTTCATTTTTTACAGATCCTTTCAGGGATTTAAAATCAATCTATATCATATCAGACAGTGGAAGTCCAAACTAATGAAATGCACTACGAAGCATTGTCAACCACCTTCAAACAAACGTTTTGAAGATTCTCAGCGGTGTTTGGCCATTTTGAACATAATTTACCGCAATTTTTGCGTCTATATGTCACAATGGATGGAACATGGCCCCATTACTTCACTCCGGAATCAAAACAATCGTCATCTCAGTGTAGAGCAACTGATAAAACTCTTCCAAAACACCCAAGAGCATAACAATCGGCTGGAAAGGTTATGGCCCCGGTATTTTGATATGTACGTGGTGTAATATCCATCGACTATCTTTAAGAGATAAATATCATCGACAATGAATACTATATAGCGTCATTGGAGCGTTTGAAGGCCTAAGTTGTGAAGAAACGACCGCATAAGGCAAAAAAAAATGGTTCCATGAAGACAATGCATCCTGTCACAAGTCAATCAAAATAATAGCAAAACTATATGAATTGAGCTTCGAATTGCTCACACGTCCACCGTATTCGCCAGACTTGGCTCCCAGTGACTACTGGCTGTTCGCATACCACAAAACAATGCTCATCGATAAGAAATTCCGCTAGAATCGAGAGGTTATCGCTGAAACAGAGGCCTATTTTGAAGCAAAAGATAAATCGTTCTACTGAAATGTACTGAAATGTAAGAGCGGCGCTGGAATGATTTTGTGGCTCTTGGAGGAGATTACGTTGATGAATAAAGCCAATTCCAAACTTAGGCCCGGGACTTTCTAGCCCATGTGTTAACCTTCATAAACCCGTCATCAAAAACTTACATTAAATACGGAGTGGGGTCCAAATGTACCCCAACATTTTTTTGGCTTATTATTATTTTTTTAATGTTATAATTAGGAAATATTAAAAAAACACATTCTGCTTGTAAAAAAAATATATTTTTACATAAAAAAGTTGTCAGCATTGATAAATGAGTAAACACATTTTGAAAAAATAATATGAAATGATTAGGAATAATAAAAACAAAAATAATTATGAAAAAAGAACAAGCACTTTAGTGACAATTTAAATAATGATTTAATTATCACACCTGTTACAAACTGTTA